TACATTTAAAATTTGAGAAAAAAACCTTTGGTACTTCTTGAGAAATAGCGATAACAAACTTATACTATCAAAATCCAAGATGGCTGCCTATCGGCCATGTTGTTTATCTGATCAGTCTCAAAAGTTGCCCTGCACATATAAAATTTGAGAAAGATCCCTCTGGTACTTCTTGAGAAACACTGATAACAAGAATTGTTTAAGGACGGACCACGGACGCAGGGTGATTTGAAAAGCCCACCAACAGATGATGGTGGGCTAAAAAGTTCAAAAACAAATCCTCAATGCAAGCCCCCCTCCCCGGGACTAACTTAACTAGATCCTCGAAGCTCTCAATGGTGGAATTTTCTGGATCCTTTTCCCTCTAGAAAATAGTTGGTTTTACCTAAACTGTCATAAAAAAATCCAAAAATGTATGATAGTATTATATATATATGTAAACATTTAAAATGAAATATTCTTGAATGAAAGAAGTTTTAATCTTTTAAATGTTACATGTACTTTTAAAAAAAAATGAAAAAAATTGACATAATTTGGAACCTTTCCAAACAAAAACACCCTTACAAGTAACTTTTACAATTATTTTGTTTGGCCTTTTGCCACATTTTCATTATTGTCTCATATTATATGTTCGACTTCTTAACGAGGAAGCGAACAGGATACAAGCATTGAGAATGTGTATGTATGTACACATCTTTATATTAGGTGTCTACGTATGTAAGTTGAGTTTGTGTTAAATCTATGGGTAAAACCTCCGGATCCGGATCAATGCAAAATTTACTCACCAATTTCCTGTCTGGTATATAGGTCTATAGCTAGCCTAGCCTATAGCTAGCCTGGAGCTGTTGACACTAAGCACGTCTGTCTGCGTGTACATGCATACACAGAAACATTATGTTTAACATTTTGAGATCAATTTTTATAGACAAAAAAAAAAGTGTTCAACAAATTAAAATGGGCATTTATTTTTCATTTATAAAAATATTTCTGCAAGTAACAGCATTTCAGAGGTTTTGCTTCTAAACAAAAAATAAGTGGCTTACAAATGCTTGTTTAAAACAAAAGTTAAAACAATTTTAGGATATGCAGTAAAATCTGGGTTAGGTAGCTATAGCCAGAAAAGTAAAAACCCAGATTGTTTGGCCTTGTTTGATATTACATGCAAAAATGCATCTGATTGCATTGGAAAGCATATTACACTGATATTTCTTTTAAAACCTACTACCTAGTCCAATGTCCATCTGAATTTTATGAAATTTTGCATTTAAGTGTAACCCACTTATTATGATATATATCGGTTATTATGATATTTTCCCCATGTACCAAATTTTTCCTACTTTAACCAAGCAAAAAAATATTGTTTTTTGTGATATGGTCAAAGGTATAGTAGGACCCCGCTTATTCTGATATTTTTTTCTGCCGTGAATCGATTTTATAAGGTAAAAACTCAGGTAAGTTGTCCGTGTGAAACACCTGGACAATTACGCAATAGGTCCGGCTAACTGTACATCGCCGAGGTAATCATCTGTCCACTCAAGGTAAATTTTTCACAACTCGCTTCCCCTCAGTCGGCGGAAAACAATAGATCGACCATCGCTTGCTGGTCATACATTTTAGTCTTAATAAAACATGTGGTGCAGTTAATTGCTGTAGGACTGTATATCAAATTACTTCAGAAGGAAGACCTGTGTTTTTAATCATTTAAGCAATAGTTTCTTAATTGAAATTGATCCAAAGTTTACGTTGATTGTTATTGTTTCTTTGCAAGTTAATTTCACCGCACGACTTGCGAGGTACGTGACTGTCACGGGAACATAATTGACATAATAGTACGGCAAAATATGTTTACGCTTACGGGACAAAATGGTACACAACTTCTCGTTGCAAAATAGGTAAATCATGACTTTTTATATCACTTCCTTCATCCTATTGACTGTAACATTACGATATTGTTAGCTACAAGTGTAGGATGTAGTATACAGATAGTTCTTAGGAATATGCTCAAAGTTATTTGAAAGTGACGGTAGAATTTACATACTGATCATTACGACGGCAAAACGACAACTTCTCAAATTACTTCAATTAATAATTTATCTTTTTGTATCTATATTTTTCCATGTTTCCACATCAATCTATGTCTGATTGATATAGGGCATCTCACTCCCGGTTCAGACAACATAAAAACGATAGAAAACAGCTTGATCGGTTATTATGATATATCGGTTATTATGATATATCGGTTATTATGATATTTTTCTCTGGCAAATAGGATATCATAATAAGCGGGTTCCACTGCATTAGGCCTAAATCAGGTTTCAAGAATTGTAACCTGAAACAAAGGGTTTTGTTGGGGGACAACTGAAGAATACAAAAACCTATTGAATATATCATTTTAATTCCTGCGTTAAAGCCACAACAAGAATGAAGTTTTCAAAAAAATATTCATAAGGATATCTTTTACTTCTATTTGATTAACAAAATGTAAATAAATTACAACTTGTGTAACATATAATAACTGAGTCAGAAAATTTAAAAAAGCAAATCAATAATACTTTGGCCTTAATTAAATATAATTATCAATCATAGAAAGATCAAGATGTCAAGGGTGTACAATGCCACTAGCTATATATAGGCTAGCCTAATACACAGGACAGAAAAAAATGATTTTTCAAAATTGCAGGTTATATAATTAGTAGAATTTTCAAAATTATAATGAAGGCTATAGTACGTACTCAAAATAAGGAATTGTCCACCCCTGATTCACTGATGTTTTCAGGAGAGGGCTTGTATAGGCATTACATGTGTTGAACAATTCCTCTTGAATGTGTAACATATAGGCTACAATATTCAATAAAATCATTGTGAAATGAAAAATGTTTCGATGATTTAAAATCCAAATCAATAGTTGCAACTTCATTAAACTCATTCACCCCTGAAGACAAATTTGAACTCTTCCAGTTCAAAAGCTGGAATAGTTCATTATGACATTTCAGGGGGAAATGAGTTTAACAAATCAACTACCTTTGTCTAAAACAAGGGAAAATATATTCGAAGGTTAAATGAGCATAAATATCAATGCAAGTGGTAAGTACTGTAAAGTGCATTGTTTAATGAGATTTTACTTCTATCTACTAAAATCAAAACAAGGAAGTGACAAGATACTCAAAAAGGTCTAGACTACTTATAATTGTTTCATAGGTAATATTTATTCAAAGCAATATGTCTCATTTTCTAAATTTGTTGTTCATTTGTTTTTGTTTTTTTGTAACAGACAGGAAATTAAGAAGATAACCTTAGAGGGGCATTGTGTATGATTGACCCATTATCAGTGCTAAACTCAGCTTTTATTTAACCCATTCACCCCTGAAGACACATTTGAACTGTTCCAATTCAAAGGTTGGAATAGAACATAAAAATAATTAATGACAAAATCATCCCTAAATGGTATACAAATGCAATGTACATAAGTTTTAACCCTTTCACCACTGTAGACCATAATGGACTCATGGAGATCAATGCATGGTAGAGTCTACTAAAGTTACATAGGGGTGAAAGGATTAAATGTTAAATTTAAAACTGAGCTTACCGTAACAGATTGGACAGACCACAATCCAGTCACTATCTTGAATACACATGATCAAGTATTTTTACCAGATAACATTCAAGTGTAAATATTTACAAGTTAAAAGTTCTATTCTTGCCTATACAACATTGATTGCATAACATTTTCCTCAAAACAACTTTTAATCGAAACTGAAACTTGTTTTTAATTTATAAATCCTTTAAGTAATCAAAGCATCCAAGATGTGTTTCTATATTTAGACCAGTACTTTCACTTTAATTTGGGTTTCCCCAGAATTGTGACGTAACAGAAAACCTGGTAAATTGCCATAATTCGGTGACACAATAAAATGAAAGAATGGACTTTAAATTGGTAAATGTTCAGAAAAGGACATTTAGTTTAATTTTACCACAACATCAAGACAAGTTGACTGAAAAAATCCATGTTTATACACAATTCTGTATAATTATCGGAACAAGTTTCATTTTAAAGAAAAGCAGAAATGAAGTTTCAAGATTATGTGTTCAATACCCTGAAAGCAGTGTTACTTATCCAAGTTCTTGTTTTTTATGACAAATATTGCATTGATTATAAAAATTAAATTTGTTTGAATATCGATACAACTTATATGCTTATATATAATGGTCAATCGAAACTGTATAACTGTGGTCAGCTATATCTGGTGTGCAGACTTTTGTTTCAATTCTTATTTAATGATTACAATTGCTTTGTTATACCGAATATTATCTAATATTTTCCAGGTTTTGGTTATCAATTTGAAAAAATGTAATCAACAATGATGATTAAATAAATATACTGTATGCGTGATTTCATCATACAACAACAACCTGAAGTTCAATTTCGATGCTTTTGTCATTGTTTTTGTATATCTAAATAACATGTTATTATAGAATAATATAATACTTCACGTCATGAATGAGAAGATGACCTAAAATCTTTATACATTACTTGTCATTAGCATAAGATGACATTATGTGAACTGTGATTTCTGTCGAGGTCGTTGAACGTATGCACACAATGTACTTGTCAAATTGTTTTACAATACTCATCAAAATACAGATAAACACTTGAATAAACACTAGAACATTCCTCCGGAAACCATATCCTGAGGGGGTTAGCTGGTGAAATGATCGTATTCGTTTATTGCGTCTTGACCTCAGTCTATTGTTCGGTACGTTAAAAATGCAGACCAGCAATTTTAGATTTATATTTCAGCGATTTTGATGGCTTACTACCATACATGAGAAATAATAAAACATTATTTGAACCAGCAAAAGTAACGAACGAAGTCTACCACGTAAGCAATATTGTTTTGACAGTTGCTTACATGGCTAAACACAAACACAAATCGAAAGTGCACGCATCATAAACACAAATGTTTTGAGTCTGCACGCACTCGGTTATGAATTTGCATACTCACCAGTAAGCAGAACTGTACCTCAGATCTTGATCTTATGCCCTCTCGGGCAAGATCCACCAAATGTGGCTTGTATGCCCCGTGATTTCCAATACACACAATATTGTCCTATATTTCCCCGGCACTTCCTAAGATGGCGGTACAGAATGTCAACAGACGGTGACGTCAGGGTGGGAGTTGTCATATGACTTGGGTCAAGGTTGTTGTGTATAAATGCAATTTACGGATTCCGTATTACTATCGGAACGCAACAATGTATGGAAAGCGTTTAGCAGGCAGGTAAATAAAATTACAAAAAAAAATTTAGAAAAATATCGACATATAAAATAAATTACCATTAACAATATCACAACAAGTAACAACCCAAAATACTCAAAACGGCCCAAAAAACGATATAATCAGTGACTTGTCGATGAAATGTTTTATTGCAAAAGTGCACATATGGTAGACTATGTTTACATCATCGTCTAAAAACTTGATATCGCAAGGAGGCAAGCACGCCAGCATACACTGTCTCCTGCACACACACACGCAAGCACGCATACACTACACACATGGAGGCACGTCCTTAAATGACCTTACTTAGCTGTTAATAGAACGTTAAACAAAATTAAACAAAACAAAACTATACCGAAGTTCAGCAAACACCATTTGTTCCCTTTGTGGCGTTGTAATAAAAGCTCTACAGAGCTTATGTTTGCTGTTGACAATTGTACACGACGTTAAATAAAGATTATTTATTTATTTATATTTATTTATTTATAAACATTTGTCGATGACTATCAGTTTCACATCCTCGATACTCCAGGAGTGACGCACACTTTCGCTCTCTGCACCCCTGGAATTTCAGTGGCGGATCCAGAGGGTTTGTTTGGGCTTCAGGAACACCCCCTCCCCCTGATAATTTTCTTTAAAAATCATGTATTTTCACAATTTTCCTCAATTTTCCCCACTTGGAAACCCCCCTCTGAATATGTCATAGCAAAATAAAAGACTCAGCATAACTTGGGGGTGAGACAAGAACTCAAGTTCGATCCCTTGAAGTACCACTAAAGAGTCTTTCGCTCGTAACGGTAAAATTGACCGGCTTTGAAGTCGGGTGTCGGCTCCTCTGAATCTTCAAAGGACAAGTATCAGCCTAGCGATTGGTCATGGGTGGGTTTTTTTTACCTGACACTCATTATAAAGCTAGTCACATGCCTTCAATTTTACTACATTAGGCCTAGGAGCCGCATTAAAAAAATATTTGTACATTAAATGCATATAGGATAGACGGCTCCTTCTCTCCGCTGTCTCTCTCCTCTATTCCTTAGTTCACTCATTTTCCTGTCTTTCTTCGTCTCCTGGCTAACCGAACTACTCGGTAGTGAAGCGGACGTAAAACCTATTAATCAATCAATCAATCAATTCAATTTTGCTATGCCATATTCGAGGAGTGCCTAGAGCAAAAGTGAGCGTAACCCCTGGAGTATCGAGGATGTTGATACAGATACAATTAATTATCTGGCAAAACATTCATCCGCTTTTGTTTAAGATGTACATTTGAGATTGTTGAGAATAATTAATAATAACAATAATTCGAGGTTCTTATATACCGCTTTATCACAACCTAGTTCGTAGGTCGTCTTAAAGCGGTTCACAAATTATTATTCGTGGTTATATGGCCTTTGCAACTTGCAAATATATTTCTCAACTCCCTTGGAAGCATACAGCCGGTGCTGCCATTTCAGCGCTCACAGCAAGCATTTAACAATTCTAGCACTGCCTAACCACGTACTCATTTACAGCTGAGTAGACTGGAACAAGCGGAGTAAAGTATCTTGCTCAAAGATACAACAAACTGCCGTACCGTGTCTCGAACCCGCAACCTTGCGGTCACATGCCTGGCGTCCTACCACTAGACTACCGTGCCTCCGTGAGGTGAGAACCTCGGTAGAAAGTTCTTGTCAAAACGGCAAAGGAGATTGTTCTGATCTTTCAAGCGTTTGAGACACATGCTACATAGAACTCTACTTTCTACAGTAATTTTACCTAGATACAGTAAGTACTCCATGTAAAATTAAAAACTGCACCACAGCGTCCTCTGTTCTCGATGTGAGGACGTGACATTTCTTTGATTCGACCTACCAGAAGATGGTTACCCTTCCGGAACACATTATGTCTAATTTCAAGGGTCTATGTAAATCTTTTGGTTGTTTATATTTTGACCTGGTTTTATCGATATTCAGTTCGAACTATAGTTTTTGTTGACACCTCATTGGAACTAGGAAGGTGAACGGGGTCGTTGATTTTCTTATTTTATCATTGTTTGCATACTTAACCCTTTCACCCCTATGTAACTTTAGTAGACTCTACCATGCATTGATCTGGACGAGTCCATTATGGTCTACAGTGTTGAAAGGGTTAAGGTTAAGACTTCCCTGTTTTACAACTAATCCTTGTCGAACATACATCAACTGAAATTCCATATAATACTCTAAACGTAAAAAACGTAAAACATTCACATCTTTGAAGTGTTTTTTAATCACTTCAATGCACACACATCTCAAAGGTGAACTTAAAAGGCGTTTTAGATATGCTGTTCTTCGAAATATTTTATTTGATTTACTTTCATGAAAACTTGCAGAAGAAAGAAATCGGAAGAAACATATTTTGGTTTTTCTTTTGTACAATTTTAAATCAATGCAGTTGCACCTCATGTTGTATCTATTGAAGACGTTTAATGATTAAATCACCACGAAATCATTAAAGGGACATCACGTGAAGAGCCATACTTTTTTAATGAATGTATGTGTTGTATGCACTTCCACCTATAATACCTTGCTATTCACATATTCACATTCTCAATATCCAGGGGTTACGCTCACTTTCGCTCTCTACACTCCTGGATATGTCATGGCAAAAGTGAAGGCACGCGTCTAGCTATTTGATTGGTATGAGGTAAAAAAACAACATCTGACCAATCACTAGGCTGATACTTGTCTTTTGATTATTACAAAGGAGCGACGCCCGACTTCAAAGCCTGTCATTTTTTACCGTTACGCGACTGCGAGATTCTTTTGATGTACATTAAAGGACCAAACTAGTCTTCTCTTCTAAGGTGGTGCACACTGAGCCTTCGACTTTGCTATGACATATTCCAGGAGTGTAGAGAGCGAAAGTGAGCGTATCCCCTGGATATCGAGGATGCATATTCATGGCGCCATGGGTACATTATAACTGAAAGGCAATAATTTCTCGTACAAGGAAGCAGTCATGTAAAAAAGAGTGTTGCCATTTTCACACGTGTGTAAAAGATAATGACGCGACCACACTCTGATAGTTAAGTTTTCAGAATATAAGCGAACATGAGTTATCTTATCTTAGATCATGAGTTATAAAATTGCATACACTCTTGGGGGTGAGATAGGGTTATACAAAGTTATTTTAACCAAAGGAAGATGATTCCTAAATTGGCAAACACGGGCCATGCAATCTTACTTTCCCTGAGGTTTTAGACTCCCCAACTCATCCCCAAGAGTTAAGTTGATTTTTCTTTCTTTTTTTCCCCCTCTATTGGCTCTTTCATAACTGATCTGCTGAGATGCTTACCCTCTGGTAGACGTGACGTCATTGTCTTTTGGATGAAACGTCATGGAATTGTTGTGACTAGGGAATCTCATCATCTCAACCCGAGTGTGAGAGAAGGATTTCTTTTATCCTGGACAATGACGTCACGTCAACAATCAATCAACGTCACCTCAACCCTTAATTTAGCATGTAACGTTAACATTACATTATGTTTATGGTGCACAATGGGGGAACAGGGTAAGAGAAAAAGAATCATTCACCCCCTTGAGGGTGGAATAGGGAAATCTCAACCCGAGGGGGAAGGTTCTTAAGTTGCCAAACACGAGGCATTGCCCAAGGGAGTGAGAGATTCTATTTATCTCACACCAAAAAAGGGTGGTCGCATGTGTTCAGTATAAGAGAAAAACTATTTGTTTCCTCTGCAAACATATACAATACAACACAATACAATACGACTTTAAGTATGAGTACTTCTAAATATCCGAAAAAATATAGCAGGATGCTATTTTCATTAGATAAACGTTTGTCGACGGCTATCAAGGGGATAACCCATCCTCGATACTCCAGGGTAATGCCCACTTTCGCCCTCCGCACCCCGGGAATATGTCAAAGAAATGTCGAAGGCTCAGCGTGCTTCACCTTGTGGATGAGACAGGAAAGCTTGTTTGATCCGTCGATGTACATCAAAAGAATTTGTCGGTCGCGTAACGGTAAAATTGACTGGCTTTGACTGGCTCCCCTGTAATCTGCAAAGGACAGGTATCAGCCTAGCGATTGGTCAGGTTGTTTTACCTGACACCAATCATATGGTTTGCCATATGCCTTTAGTTTTGCTATGACATTGCTTGGGCGCAGAGAGTGTAATCCCTGGGGTATCGAGGATGGGGATAATCCTATTGTAGGGTTATCTCCGCTCTAATTCAAATAAGCTAAAAACACTGAAAGAAACGACGAATCTAAAATATTTTTGTGCCTTTCCTCAAAATCTTGGTCTATCTGCAATGGTTTATTGACGTCAGAAACATTCAATGTGAGTCGAAATTACAGTGACCTTTCGGGGTCACGGTATTGTTCGTGAAGTAATTAAAATCAATTTCATGACATGTCTGAGTCATTCGGGATAACTGACGTCATACACACTAGCCATCCGGGCTTCCTATGCAAACGAGACATTTTTAGATGTTATATCGTAGTGATACCGTCAGAAATTATTTCGTTTTACGCATCAAATGCCGTGTTACATTTCAAATGAATTAGAATTAGTACTATTGGTGTGTACCGTTATGAACGTTTTAAAAAGGGAATGTGACATCTAAAACAGTAACTTCATTTCAAATATTCAAATAGCAATTAAATACCACTATTGATAATTAACTAGAAGCGAACATATATTATTCACATATATTGTTATTCATATGTCAACTTGGCAAGAATTTGATGCAAGAAACCAAAGTGAAAAACCACCATTTCCTTAGTTTTAACTAATGTCTATTTGAGAATTATTTGGTATGGTAAACTACGCTCCATGGAAATACCGCGAAAATGTATTTAAGAATCGCGAAAAATAAGTGTTTTACAGTGTGATAAATACACTGTAGTAAGCTATCCTTAATTCATTATTGGTGGGAAACATCAGGTGTCGCAGGTCTGTTCGGCCTGCAATTACTTTTTTTCTTGCAATGAAAAATGGCACGAAATGTTCAGGATAAATTGGAACATTTTTTGTTTAAACATCGAAGGTGAAGCCCGATCGTGTCAACTGATAGCTATAAATAATACAGTATATAAACCCTTACCAGTTCCACGTCCATACCGTCACATACAGATCCAGAGGGATTATGGCGTTTCTAGCAAAGCTCCTGATTGTGTTTGCATTGTTAGGTAGCTTGTCGACAGCAGAGAATGACAATTCTCAGATTTTATCACTTACAAAACAAGAATTGACTTCTATTATAGATAAACTTGTACATGAACGTATGGCCGAGATAGAATCTAGACTTAAACAAGAAAATTCTGATCTGAGGCATGACATTTCTGTTCTTAAAACTGCCGACGAAGTTTTGAAATCTAGATTTGGAAGATTGGAAGTAGAAAACAGACATTTGAAATCCAAAGTTGATTCCATAGAGAAAGAGATAGACATACTAAAATCTGCCGCATCAGTAACATCGTTTGACCACCCAGGGAATGATACCAAAGTGGACAAGGACTTCCGAAGAGTTGCTCCATACCGTGAGTATGATTTGGTCTTGTGATTCTATTTTATTTTCAATCAATACTGTTTAATGTGGGCGCCAATGGTCACCTGTCCTGACTAAAAGAGAAAACAGTCATATCAAAATATCGGAAAATTAAGTTGACGGCATGGGACATAGATATTGCAATAATGTTCGTGAAACATCGATATCATTGTTTTTATATATATAACCGCTTTCGGTTTGATTTAGAGCACACGTTTGCATGGTTCTAACTTGCACATAAATTAACAGCTTTATGATAGTTTACGGTGATGACGGAAAGACAAGTATATATTGCTGTCTCATCAACAAATCAATCGGAAATATGGACAATATTGTACAGATTGTTTTTGTTTAGCTGTAGCCAAATATATTCTTCATTGACGGATCAGTAGATTTATTTCTTCTAGTGGTTTATAGCACCTTTTTTACTTTCGAAAATGCATACAAAGATGCAATACAAAGAAAAATATATACTACAATACTCATTTTTTTACAGATCCCCCTGCTCCACAATCGGCATTCAAAGCCAGGGTGACTCACAAACTTACCAATGTTGGTTCTGACCAGATTATTAAGTTTGACGCTGCTGAGCTTAACATCGGTAACCGATATAACCCTACCACTGGTATTTTCACCTGTGACATTCCCGGTCTGTATGTATTTCATTTAACCATAACAATATATGGCGATACAAATGTCGAACTACGGTTATATAAAAATGGTCAATCAATGCACAACTTTTACCTTGGTAACAAAGAGTACCTTGGTTCTGGATCAACGACAGCTTTGCTTCAACTTGACCAGAGCGACACCGTGTGGATAAAGAGTGATCCGTACCACTCCACAGGAGATCTCATCCATGATGACTACAGCTACTTTTCCGGGTTCCTTCTTTATCCTAGAATTCAAAACTGAAATGTTAAACACAAGCACGATTACATATACACACTGGTTCTAAACTTGTTGCCTATGTAAATAAATTCATCATGTCAACAAACTTTGAATTGGTGTTTTAAATAATTAACAAATCTTTATTTCGCTAAGATATTATAATATCTTGATGCAGAAAGCCGTCTTGTAAAGGCATTTTTCCACGAATGCGAAAATTCAGGTGGTGATCCTGTTATTGGTGTATTTATTACCTTAGTAAGTAATTACATTTTATTTCCTTCCTTAACAAAGGTAGGAAAAACCCAGTAAGGAGTAGGAGGAAACATACTAAAGGTGGCAAATGGTTATACAGTTTAATACTTCTATATCTACATTGCATTAAGCAGGATGACGTCATGGTCATAGTCCGAATTATTCTGACGTTTTATCGACTTTTCTAATATCGGTCTGTCGTCGATTAACGTCAGAACTCCGGCCCTCTATACTATGCGGGAAATATGCGACCCGCGCCCGGAGCGCACTTCAAACTGATATTTTAGAAACAAATCGTCACTTTCACACACATGTCGCACATGGATCGAAAGATCTGTTCTTTATGCACTAGGTGGTATCAATAACATGTTTCAAAGATCATTACGAAAAGTATTTTCCAATGTTTTCTATACCAACCCATGTTTTTAATGAAAATTAGGCCATGGGCAATGTCACATGACTTGACGAGATCTCGCGTTACCAAAGGTATTTCCCAACGGTATGACGTAGGCCGGCGAGTTTTTAGTCACGTGACATTAGAAGGCGGGGCTACCAAAAAACTAGAGTAAAACAGAGTAAGTTTGAAAAAAAATGTTTTTAGTGATTGTATTGATTGTTTTAGGCATGCTATGTATTTCATCGTGTACATAAAGAACAGATCTTTCGATCCATGTGCGACATGTGTGTGAAAGTGACGATTTGTTTCTAAAATATCAGTTTGAAGTGCGCTCCGGGCGCGGGTCGCATATTTCCCGCATAGTATAGAGGGCCGGAGTTCTGACGTTAATCGACGACAGACCGATATTAAAAAAGTCGATAAACCGTCAGAATAATTCGGACTAGTCATGGTCAGTACTGATACGTTTGTCGAACACCGTTTGGAATCTTTGGTTTCTGACTTTGTGAGAATGTCTATAGAGCAAATGTATAAATAATCAAAATGTATGAAACATTGGACGAATAAATAATGAAAATAACTGAATGTTTGTTAATGAAAAAGAAAGAAAAGAAAGCATCTTGATAGGATAAAGAAATGTTATTTTCCAGGTTCGAACATTATTTACACTATTCAATCAAAACTGTGTTGTCGTTTCTTTGATATCGACGGCACAGTAAATATCATTGTGTTGTTCAGTGTTTTAATGACAAATTGACATATTCAGATTCCCTGACCAACAGGCATAACTAGAATCATTGCATGTTGGTTTTATTTTTTGTGCATGTGTTTTTCTTTTACGGATGATCTTAATAATTATTTTCCTTCTTGTGTATTTAATCAGTAACTTTCAATCCATACCAATGATTAAAAAACAACGTGAAATATATTTATATTTTGTATTTTGAAGACAATAATGAATATCGTGTTTGAAAAATATTAAAAAAATAGATGAAAAGGAAAATAAAAATTGTCATGTTATTTTGTAATTAATATAAAATAGTCAGAAATTCTTATTACTTATTATATTGTAGCTAAACAATCGCGGTATAATGTCCGAATCCTGGACTACATACATAAGAAATATAAATAAGATTGCTTTTTATCACGTGACTATCGAAAAAGTAATTTTGAAATATGATTGCTAAACGGTTTTGTAATATAATTCCGATAATTGAAGAACACCGATTGATGTCAAATTTAAAACTCATTAAAAGGAATCAATTAACGAATGCGTAATCAAAATAATGTATTCTCTATAATAGTAACTGCATTTCTTATCTACAAACGGTAAAACAACTATTACTAACTGATGATGATCAGTAACTATGAGCAAATATTATATTCACAATAGATTGTGATTCATACGTCAACTTGGCGAGGATTGGATTCAAGAAATCAAAGTGAGAAAAATTCCACGTATTTCCTTGGTTTTCACTAATATACATTCGAGATGATTTTGGTATCGGTTATCTACATTCCATATGAATAACGTGAAAATTTATGAATCGCGATAAATAAGTGTTTGACTGTGTGATGAAAACCCTATAGTAAGCTATCCCTGATTCATTTATTGGTGGGGAACATCAGGTGTCGCAGGTCTGTTCGGCCTTCAACTAGGTTTTATCTTGCAATGAAAAATGACACGAAATGTTCAAAATAGATTGGCCCACTATTTGTATAAACATCGAAGGTTAGTCCTGATCTTGTCTACTGATAGCTATGAATATAACAGTATATAAACATTTAGAAGTTCCACGTCCATATCGTCACTGGCAGATCCAGAGGGATTATGGCGTCTTTAGTAAAGCTCTTGATTGCGTTAGCATTGTTAGGTAGCTTGTCGGCAGCAGAAAATGACGATTCTCAGACCTTATCATTTTCGAAACAAGAAATGACTTCTGTTATAGATAAACTTGTACGTGAACGTATGGCCGAGATAGAATCTAGACTTAAACAAGAAAATTCTGATCTGAAACATGAAATTTCTGTTCTTAAAACAGCCGACGAAGTTTTGAAATCTAGGCTGGGAAGATTAGAAGTAGAAAACAGACATTTGAAATCCAAAGTTGATTCCATAGAGAAAGATATAGACATACTAAAATCTGCCGCATCTGTAACATCGTTTGACCACCCAGGGAATGATACCAAAGTGGACAACCAAAGTGGACAAGGACTTCCGAAGAGTTGCTCCAAACCGTGAGTATGATTTGGTCTCGTGATTCTATTTTATTTTCGATCAATACTGTAAAATATGGACGCCGATGGCTACATAAATAAAAGCCATAACAGTCATATGAAAACATCGGAAAATTAAATTGATGGATCAGTAGATTTATTTCTTCTTGTAGTTTATAGCACCTTTTTTACTTTCGAAAAATGCATACAAAGATGCAATACAAAGAAAAAAATACACTATTGTGCTCATTTTTTTACAGATCCCCCTGCTCCACAGTCGGCATTCAAAGCCTGGCTGACTCACAAACTTACCAATGTTGGTTCCGAGCAGATTATTACGTTTGACAATGCTGAGATTAACATCGGTAACCAATATAACCCTACCACTGGTGTTTTCACTTGTGACATTCCCGGTCTGTATGTGTTTCATTTAACCATAACAATATATGGCGATACAAATGTCGAACTGTTTTTCACTAAAAATGGTCAATATATGCACAACTTTTACCTTGCTAACAAAGAGTTCCTTAGTTCTGGATCACCGACAGCTTTAATTCAGCTTGACCAGGGCGACACCGTGTGGATAAAGAGTGATCAGTACCACTCTACAGGAGATCTGATCTATGGTGGCTTCAGCTACTTTTCCGGGTTCCTTCTTTATCCTAGAATTCAAAACTGAAATGTTAAACACAAGCACGAATACATAGACACCCTGGTTCTAAACTTGTTGCCTATGTAAATAAATTCGTCATGTCATCAAACGTTAAATTGGTGTTTTAAATAATTGACATCTTTATTTCACTAAGATGTTATGATCTTCCGAAGAGTTCCATACCGCGAGAATGATTTGCTCTCGTGATTCTCTTTTATTTTAAATCGCTACCTCAATAAAAGAGTTCAAATATCGGAAAGGTGGGGTCAACATTTGGCCTCCACTTTGATTTCTTTTATTCTTTTGCCATATGTAGGTACATGAAAATGATCAATAACTGCATATATGATTATTCATAATCGCTATTGATAACCGTAGTGGACCTCCTTGCATAACACCAGGTTGAGTGACGGGGGTATCCTTACAAAAGGACAGATACATGTCACAGGCGAATGTGTTTTTGAAAATGAATTATGATAGTGTACAGTGGATAAAATTACTGTTATTTTGATATTAAATATGTCATATTGGTATACATGAAGTAAGCGTAGGAATACTTTTAATTAGGAAAACATGCAAAATTTTCACAAAATTTTCAATATAACCAACATTGTCAACTTGCCTATATATAGTTACAATGGTAGTGTATATTTTAAACTTCTTTAAAAACTTTCTATATATGTATTCTGTCTACAGAATCATTTTTATGTAATATAAAAACCGGTAAAGTACTTTTTTGCATGTCAAACATGATCAATGCCAAATTTCAAGTAATTTGTATCATACTTAAACATATTATTATATTACGCATGTTTTAAAGTTATGTGCAGCAGTAATGACTTAAGGTACAGATTGTGTTATACACAAAAATATGCAATGATATAAAAACAATAAAATAATCTTAATAGTAAAACTATTATACACTTTATTATACCCCCTGCAACGAAGTTATGGGGTATACTGGATTCAGCTTGTCTGTCCGTCTGTCTGTCTGTAGAAAAAGTTTGGCCGGACAACTCCTTCTAAAGTAATGGACCAATTTCAATGAAAGTTTCCAGATATGATAACTGTCACATGACGTTGTGGATCCAGGTATTATTTTTTCATTCTGACACTTTGTTTTACAAAGTTATGGCTCTTTGTTGAAAAATCCTTGTCCGGACATGTCCTCGAAAACTAGGGGGTCAATTTCATCGACAGTTTTTAGATATGATAACTATTACCTATTTGGTATGAAAGTATGTTTTGGCATGGGGAAGGAGTACAGGAAGTATGTCAGTGACATATATGCTTAACTTTAAACAAATAAAGCAAGAAAAGGTATCCATGTCTGACTCCCCATACAATTCTTTTAATTTAACACATTTGATTTGTGTGACCTTGAATGAAGGTCAAGGTCATCAACGTTTACAAAACTTAAATCCATTCACGTGAACAACCTACTTGCCAAATAGCAAGACTCGAGGACCTTTGGTCATGAAAAAAACACAAGTTAAAGGAAAAGTGGAAAGAAAGCTATGTTTCTCTATTTTTGGATCAAAAGTGTTATATGACAAATTTACCGGTTGTATTTTTTTTTGGAAATTTCTGATGTTAAAACATATTATTGGTAGACAACTTTTAAGCAAAATAGACTAGTTTTAGAACTATATAAATTAACGTGTCAAAAAAATGAAATTTTCTCATTACTAATGAAATGACTGTGTGAGCAATCACTGTAGTAAGCTATCCCTGATTCATAATTGGTGGGAAACATCAGGTGTCGCAGGTCTGTTCGGCCTTCAACTAGGTTTTATCTTGCAATGGAAAAAGGCACGAAATGTTCAGAATAGATTGGCCAAGTTTTTGTATAAACATCGAAGGTTAGTCCTGATCGTGTCAACTGATAGCTACATGTATACAAATTTTACAGTATATAAGGTTTTACAAATTCCAAGTCCATATCGTCAAAGACAGATCCAGAGTGATTATGGCGCTTTTAGCAAAGCTCCTGATTGCGTGCATTGTTAGGTAGCTTGTCGGCAACAGAGAATGATGATTCTCAGACTTTATCATTTTCGAAACAAGAATTGACTTCTGTGATAGATAAACTTGTACGTGACGTATGGCCGAGATAGAATCTAGACTTAAACAAGAAAATTCAGATCTGAAACATGAAATTTCTGTTTTTAAAACAGCCGACGAAGTTTTAAAATCTAGACTTGAAAGATCAGAAGTAGAAAACAGACATTTGAAATCCAAAGTTGATTCCATAGAGAAAGAGATAGACATACTAAAATCTGCCGCATCACTAACATCGTTTGACCACCCAGAAAATGATACCAAAGTGGACAAGGACTTCCGAAGAGTTGCTCCATACCGTGAGTATGATTTGGTCTCGTGATTCTGTTCTTTTTTTTTAATCAATACTGTTTAATATGGACGCCGATGGCTACATAAATAAAAGCGAGAACAGTCATATCAAAATATCGGAAAATAAAATTGACGGCATGGGACATAAATATCGTAATAATGTTCGGGAAACATCGATATCATTGTTTTTATATATATAACTGATTTCGATTTGATTTAGAACACACTTATGCATTGTTCGATTTGATTTAGAACACACTTATGCATTGTTCTAACTTGCACATAAATTAGCAGCTTAATGATAGTTTACGGTGATGACGGAAAGACAATTATATATTCTGTCTCATCAACAAATCAATCGGAAATATGGATCATATTGTACAGATTATTTTTTTGCAACTGTAGCGAAATATATTCTTTATTTATGGATCAATAGATTTATTTCTGCTAGGAGTATAAAACATTTTTTCTTTACTTTCGAAAAATGCATACAAAGATGCAATACAAAGAAAAATATATACTACAGTACTCATTTTTTTTACAGATCCCCCTGCTCCACAATCGGCATTCAAAGCCAGGCTGACCCACAAACTTACCAATGTTGGTCCCGACCAGATTATTAAGTTTGACGCTGCTGAGGTTAACATCGGTAACCAATATAACCCTACCACTGGTGTTTTCACCTGTGACATTCCCGGTCTGTATGTGTTTCATTTGACAATAACAACATTTAAGGATAAATCTGTGGAACTATTTTTCATTAAAAATGGTCAAAGAATGCACAACTTTTACCTTGCTAACACAGGGTACCTTGGTTCTGGATCAACGACAGCTTTAATTCAGCTTGACCAGGGTGACACTGTGTGGATAAAGAGTGACCAGTACCACTCTACAGGAGATCTGATCGACTCTACTTAAAGCTACTTTTCCGGGTTCCTTCTTTATTCTGGAACTCAAAACTGAATTGTTAAACACAAGCACGAATGCATTGATATTATGTAAATAAATTCGTCATTTAAACAAAATTTAAATTTACGTTTTTAATAATTGACAAATCTTTATTATAATGTCTTGATGCAGAAAGCCGTCTTGTGAAGGCAATTTTCGACGAATGCGATATTTCAGGTGGCGATCCCGTTATTAGTGTATGTATTCTCTATGTTAGTAATTACATATTATTTTCGTTCCTGAACAAAGCCAGGAAAAACCTAGTAAGGAGTAGGAGGAAACATAGGAATGGTGGCAAATGGTTATACAGTTTAACACTACTACATCTACATTACATAAAACAGGATGACGTCATTGTCAGTAATGATACATTTGTCGAACACCGTTTGGAATCTTTGGTTTCTGACTTTGTGGGCAATGTATATAGAGCAAATGATTGGACGAGTAATTGATGAAAATAACTGAATATTTGCTAATTAAAAAGAAAGAAAAGAAAAACCTTGATAGGAAAAGGAATTTTATTTCCAAGGTTCGAACATTATTTATATTATATACTAGCGGAAAAAAGAAACTGTGCATGCCTAAAATGTGTTATAAAATAAATGTGTATGACGTAGAACAACAAGGTTTTCAGGGACAATTTATTTGTTATTTATTAACAGTTGCATTCCATTTCCTTAATGGAATCAATAAGTTCCGCTAAGGAGTGACGTAAACACAGCAGGGTTCAATACTGAGTTCACAAAGTTAATACCTCGTATGTCCACCGTTTGCCTGAATGCAAGCCTGGCAACGTCGACGCATGGAGCCTATCAGACGATTCAAGAATGCATGTGGGATGGCAATCAAGATCTGTTCCAACGCTGCAGCCAAATCAGCCAACGTCACCGGTCGATTAGGTAATGCCCGTAATCTGCGCTTCATTTCATCCCAGACGTGCTCAATGGGCGACAGATCGGGGGATACAGCAGGCCAGGGCAACACGTCAACGTTCTGCTGGGCTAGAAAGTCTATAGCGACACGAGCTGTGTTTGGCCTGGCGTTGTCCCGCTGCAGCGTTAATGTAACGTTGCTGCCCTTGCACGAATGGAACGACGTGGGTCCGGAGGATCTCGTCACGGTAACGTAGCGCGTTCAAATGCCCGTTAACAACCACCAGAGGAAATCTCCCGTTGGCTCTGATGCCGCCCCAAATCATAACGCTACCTCCACCGAAAGAACGTCGTTGTACCACACACGCGTCACGGAAACGTTCCCCAACACGACGATACACTCTGGAACGGCCGTCACTACTATCCAGGTGGACTCGCGACTCGTCCGTAAACAAAATGCCTGCCCAATTCCGTCGAGTAAATCGCAGATGCCTTCTGCACCAGTCCAGACGTGCTACACGATGACGTGGCAGAAGAACTGGGCGGATTGCAGGACGTCGCGGACGGATAGCTTGTTCACGCAATCGGTTCCGTACAGTTCTCGGGCTTATTGGTAGCAACCAAGGGATTGTCCGTGCAGTCAAACTTGCCGTTTGGAAGCGATATTTCAAATGGACAAGCCGAATATGGATGTCCTGTTGACGTGACGACACACGTGGACGTCCCGGGACGCACGAGGTCGATCGCCGACGTGGTCAAACTATTGATGTCGTCTCCACAAATCCCGGATTGTGTTTCGATGGACATGAAAACGTGTAGAAACAACGGCTTGGCCCATACCAGCTTGAAGCATACCAATAATCCGGAGGCGGTCATTTTCATTGAGCCTCGGCATAGCATTAATCACAAATTAAAACGTTATAATGCTGTTTTTACTGTTCACTGGTCTCAACAGAGTGACCCAACAGTTGAAAAATAAACTTTCATTGTTGAATTGGATGGCTGGACGAGAAAAACGTGCAAACTGGTCAACGCCTATAGAGAGCAAACTGCACGGGAAAAACTGTCAATGACACACGGATAGCGTGTGTGTCATACTCGAACATGTGTGAGAATTTTTATGTATATACAGTTGATAATACATGTTCTATAACAATTCCCCGCATGCACAGTTTATTTTTTCCGCTAGTATACAATCAAAACTGTGTTGCCGTTTCTTTGATATCGACGGCACAGTAAATCTCATTGTGTTTTTCAGTGTTTTATTGACAGATTGACGGATTCAGATTCCCTGACCAACAGACGTTATCATTTTCGAAACAAGAATTGACAGCCGACGAAGTTTTAAAATCTAGATTTGAAAGATCAGAAGTAGAAAACAGACATTTGAAATCCAAAGTTGATTCCATAGAGAAAGAGATAGACATACTAAAATCTGCCGCATCAGTAACATCGTTTGACCACCCAGGGAATGATACCAAAGTGGACAAGGACTTCCGAAGGGTTGCTCCATACCGTGAGTATGATTTGGTCTCGTGATTCTGTTCTTTTTTTTAATCAATACTGTTTAATATGGACGCCGATGGCTACATAAATAAAAGCGAGAACAGTCATATCAAAATATCGGAAAATAAAATTGACGGCATGGGACATAGATATTGAAATAATGTTCGTGAAACATCGATATCATTGTTTTTATATATATAACTGCTTTCGGTTTGATTTAGAGCACACGTTTGCATGGTTCTAACTTGCACATAAATTAACAGCTTTATGATAGTTTACGGTGATGACGGAAAGACAAGCATATATTGCTGTTTTATCAACAAATCAATCTGAAATATGGACAAAATTGTATAGTAGTTTAAAGCACCATTTTTACTTTCGAAAAATGCATACAAAGAACCAATACAAAGAAAAAAATATACTACGGTACTCATTTTTTTACAGATCCCCCTGCTCCACAATCGGCATTCAAAGCCAGGCTGACTCACAAACTTACCAATGTTGGTTCCGAGCAGATTATTCCGTTTGACCTCGCTGAGATTAACATCGGTAACCAATATAACCCTACCACTGGTGTTTTCACTTGTGACATTCCTGGTCTGTATGTGTTTCATTTAACCTTGACAATATATAGCGACAAATATGTCGAACTACGGTTATATAAAAATGGTCAATCAATGCACTACGTTTACGTTGGTAACAAAGGGTACCTTGGTTCTGAATCAACGACAGCTTTAATTCAGCTTGACCAGGGCGACACCGTGTTGATAAAGAGTGATCAGTACCACTCTACAGGAGATCTCATCTATCCAGGCTACAGCTACTTTTCCGGGTTCCTTCTTTATCCTAGAATTCAAAACTGAGATGTTAAACACAAGCACGGATACATAGATACCTTGGTTCTAAACTTGTTGCCTATGTAAATAAATTTGTCATGTCAACAAACTTTGAATTGGTGTTTTAAGTAATTGACCATTGGTTTTTTTCTCATTAAGATGTTATAATGTCAGTTCAAAAATTAAATGGCGTTTATCAATATGTTCGGAAATTTAGTTTACGATCCTCTGACTATGAGTTTTCAATCAGTGACGTTTTCGAATAAAGCAGTACAAGAGATATGTTTTCCTTTGTTAAGACAAATGTATCGTACCTGAGCGAAGTAGAAAACGCGCCAATGTAATAGTGGCCAATGATTATAGTACCCTAAGAACTTCTAAATCTTCATTAGCATAAATCAGGATGACGTCATTGTCAGTAAATATACGTTTGTCGAACACTATTTGACACTCTTTTGGTCTCAGACTTTGTGAGCAATGTACATACAGCAAAGGTATAGACAATCAAAATATAACAAACATTTGGCGAGTAAATGATGAGAATTACTAACTGTTTGCGAATGACGTCCACATTTAGTATTCAGACGTCGTATTGTGGAGGATTTTAAAGTGAGTCTGGTTCTGAATTAGTGAACACTGTACGTACGGCATAGGTTTTAATGATTAATTTAAATTAAATTACAAAATATTTGTTAATTAAGATTATGGTTGTGATTCAGGCGTCGTATTGGCGTGAAACACACGAATTCATAAAAAAATAAATGAATGTCTTTTCAGGTCATCCATACAATTTCAGCTAAGTAAGGAACAATTTTGAAACACGTTTTTTTTCAACTTTTAATAATCATATTTATAAATTTATATTTCGCGAAACACAAATGATCTAAAGTGAATTTTGTTTGTTCTTTGCATCGAGACGATACATCATTGACCCTCCTTTGTGAGAAAACGCTTACTGTCGCGTGTCTGTTCGACCTACATTGTTATCTAATCCTGTAAAATGTGTGATGCTTCGATATGTTTAAACTTATTTTGACCTCCTTTTAAAGAAACATGTTCAAGGAAGTTTGTCCTGAACCTGATTACTGCTATCTATAAACAGAGTACAGTATATAAACCCTAAAACCGATCTATTAATAATAATAATTCGAGGTTCTTATATACCGCTTTATCACAAATTAAGTTTTGAAATCTGAATTTGAGCTTTTGGAAGTAGAAAACAGGTCCTTGAAAACAAAGGTAGATTCTTTTGAAAATGAATTTGAGAAACTGAAAGTAGAAAACAGATTGATGAAAACCAGGATTGATTATATAGAGAACGAGTTAGTAATATAACAAGAAGCCTGTTTGGGAACATCAACAGTTCATCCGGAAGAGGACACCAAAGCGGAAAAAGTTTTCAGAGGAGTTGATCCGCACCGTGAGTATTATTTTCTCCCGCGCTTCTTTGTTTGAACTTTACATGTGCGCAGTTGATAATATAAATATCATAAGATAGTATTATTACTTGATATGGTATCTCATATTCTTTTCTGTATCTGATGTCTCATATATTATTTGTAGGCGATCATATTAGGAAAGAGACTTGGTTTTGAAATCATATACTCTCCAAACATAAAATGTTTATTAGATATATGACGTTTAACATTAAAATCTGAAACGGATAATTTAGGGGAAATGCTATTTTGTGTATTGTCAGCACTTTCTGGGTTTTGTTTTGTTTTTTGTTTGTTGGGTTTATGGGTTTTTTCGGGGTAGGGGGTCCAAATTCCCGAATCATAGCTCTTTTAGAAAATGTTAGGTTGTCTTTTTCCATATGATGGTGTCGACAGGGAAATGTACAATGTTATCTCATTATCATGTAATTGAAAATAATACCTGCAAAATTATACTACTGAATCTTTATCCTTTTATATCCTTTATAGATAAAAAAAAAAAAAACGAGAATGATTTCCGCTATGTAAAGTTATTTACTTTCAGAAGGTGCATACAATACAATCATCATCGATATCCAGGGTAACGCTCACTTACGCTCTCTGCACCCCTGGAATATGTCATAGCAAAATTGAAGGCTCAGTGTGCGCCACGTTGTTGATGAGACAAGAGGACTAGTTCGATCCTTTGATGTACATCAAAAGAAACTCGCGGTCACGTAACGGAAAAAAATGACAGGCTTTGAAGTCGGGTGTTGCTAATTTGTAATCTTCAAAGGACATGTATCAGCCTAGCGATTGGTCAGGTTTATTTTACCTGAGACCAATCAAATAGCTAACAGCGTGCCTTCAGTTTTGCTATGACATATCCCATAGATGCAGAGAGTGAATGTGAGCGAAACTCCTGGATATCGAGGATGCCAATACGATGTACTTATATTATATTTTTGTTACAGATCCCGCGGCTCTTCAGTCGGCATTTCCGGCCAGTCTTTCTCACACACTTACCCACTGTAGACCACAATGGACTCACCCAGATCAATGCATAGTAGAGTCTACTAAAGTTGCATAGGGGTAAAAGGGTAAACAATGTCGTCCCCGAACAGATTATCACATTTGTCGCTGTCGATATCATCTGCATCGAGCATTTTCACCTGTGACAGCCCGGGCTATATGTGTTAGATACATCATGATAAATTTGTAAAATTTATTTCTATGAAAAGTGGTCAATTTTTTATCTTTCAAGAAAACGTTACATCGGCGCTTGTTCAACGACGGCTTTGACACAGCTTGACCAGGGCGACAGGATGTGGATCAAATCCGACCAATATCTCCTGGCTACAGTTATTAGTCTATAAATAGTATCGTATACCATCAAATACTTTATTCATTATCATCTATATACTACGTTTTACCACCTACTGGTAGCGTGATAAATGTAGTATCATGGGTTGTCAGTATGAGAATACCCTAGAAGAAATTGAGAATAATTTGATAACAATTTGTAAATGTTCTCAAACAAGAAAATGCAGCAAAACTGCTGGGCACCAGATATTTGATGAAATTTCACTTATAACGTCCAAAAACCACCGGGGAGCGGATCCTGCACATGTGAATTTAACCCTCGAATATTAATGGCATTACTTTTATCGTTCAGAATATTCTGCTCAATATCCTCACATATTGAACTTATGTCACTTAATAATTGTCCAAAGACACAAAATTGTATATTTTTACTGCATGTTTGAATTCAACAGTTTGGTGATACAGTACATGATTAACGTAAAATATAATTTATACCTGTTGCGATTTTTACAACTATTTCATTTGATATTGCATTTTTAGATAAAATCAAATCGGGAGTAAAGTATCAATCGTTTTTATATTAAGTTTCTTCATTTAATTTGTGTCAAGATCAACTCAATTTATCACACCAAGAAATCGACCAAAGCAAGATCAATCTTTAAGGTGGCTCCACACTTTCGCAATTAACCAGCAAAATTCGTTGAAACTTTCATATAATTGTTATGCAACTATGTCGAGTTGATNCACCACTTTTTTTGAAAGTGTACTGGTTGCTATGGTAACTTAAACTTTGAAATATCAACCAATTTGACGGAAAATGAACTCTGCATAGTGTTGTTTACCAATTATCTAAGGAGACTGTCTTAATGATCTAAATGTCAACCATTGTGTTTTCATCATTGATGTGAGTGTAAGAGAAAATGTTCCACATGAACCCATACAGCATACACTTTTGAGGTATATGTACATATTAAGTGGGGCATTTTTCATCCGGTCACCTCGGTTCCTGAACAAAACGCTAATAATATACGTTTCGTTTAAATGAAATAATGGTATTCTTGCCTTTAAATACACATACTATTGTATTAGTTCATGAATGATGTTACTTAAATTTCAACGCGTCGACAAGGAATTAAAACTTTATTAGAACCAAAAATTAGTCTCACAGATAATCAAATACTGTAGACGTTCTTATTTTGGCGGTGCTCTTATTTTAAAGTTTATTCGCGCTTGAAATATAACGCTAAATTATAACAGCGCCAATGGAAGTTTCTGTAGATTGTTTTCTATCGCATGTTTTGAAGGTATGCCAATTTAGTCTTGCGCTAATCTATTAAAATTTCTCTTATGATTTTTCATGATAATTATTGCTTTTTATACGTTTCTCATAATGGTCTGAAATTTTGCGGTGGTCAGTACAATTATACAATATTGAAAGAATTGAACTAGACGGACATATAATTAGCAGTTTTATATGATGACGAAAACCATTTATTAATTCAGCTGTATTAAGCATTGTTACTGAGAAAGTGGATCAGAAGGATTATAAGGAAGATGTTTCCAAACGTACGGTTGTACAAGCATATCGAAGAGTTTGGACAGCATTTCTAACATATATAGAATTAATTAATCCCACCATATTGTAATTAACAGGAGTGTTTGTATATTACGTGAGTATGTGTAACGGAACTGGACCGGGTCGATCGCCGCCTACCAGCTAGCTCAATTGGTAGAGCGTCCGCCTACAGTTCGGAGAGTTCTGGGTTCGAATACCGGTCTGGCAGTCCATTTTCCCATACCTATTATACAAATGTTGCCTGTGACAAATCTGGCAAGGGTATACCCGAACCTGGGTTGTAAAAAGTGTTGTCTTCGGGGGCGAAGAAGTAGAAAAAGAAGGAGGGAATGTAGCGGAACTAGACTAAGTCGTTCGCCGCCGACCAGATAGCTTAATTGGTAGAACGTCCGTCTAGAGTTCAAATGGTTCCGGGCTCGAATCCCAGTGTGACCGTTCATTTTCCCGCTCCTATTACACATGTTTAGCTATCAATATTTAAAATCTTGGTACGAGTTCCCGCGCCGTCTAATTTGGCGCTGTTTTCAGAATGGCTGGAAAGGACAATTACACTCGCTGACGTTAAGATCACAGTATCATCTAGGTACCATCCAACGAGGGTATAGCCAACCCCCCCCCCCCCCCCCCCCCCCTCAAATATATACTGTTGTAGTGTTGACATATCGAATTATGTTGGTATTGATTAATTTACTTGTCTTCCTCGGGTTAGACCGGTTTTCAATTTTCGGTGTGATATACTCTCACGCTTTCAAGAGTTATCTTTCTTTATGCGAAACAG